AAACTTATCTCATTCTAAAGGCAGCGGGTGGGAAGGGCGGGGGCGGGAAGGGCGAGGGGGGCGGTGGCAGCGAAGGGAGGGCTCGGGCATGCACTGGAGCCCTTAAAAACACTCCATTCTAACAACAAGCGGGAGGGGTGGGCAGGAGTGGGGCATGCACTGGAGCCCAAAAACACGCCAGTCCAGCGGAGGGGGTCGGCGGGGGTGGGAATGCACTGGAACCCTTAAAACACGCCAGTCCAGCGGAGGGGGTCGGCGAGGGTGGGAAGGGCGGGGGGAGCGGGGGGGGCGGGGGGGGCGGGGGGGGCGGGGGCAAGGGAGGGCTCGGGCATGCACTGGAGCCCTTAAAAACACTAACAGCAAGGCAGCGGGAGGGGAGGGTGGGAGTGGGGCATGCACTGGAGCCCTTAAAACACACCAGTCCAGCGGAGGGGGTCGGCGGGGGTGGGAAGGGCGGGGGGAGCGGGGGGGGCGGGGGGGGCGCGGGGGGCGGGGGCAGCGAAGGGAGGGCTCGGGCATGCACTGGAGCCCTTAAAAAACACTAACAGCAAGGCAGCGGGGAGGCTGAGGGGGTCCGGCGGGGGTGGGAAAGGGCGGGGGGAGTGGGGGGGGAGGGGGGGGGGGCGGGGGCAGCGAAGGGAGGGCTCGGGCATGCACTAGAGCCCTTAAAAACACTCCATTCTAACAGCAAGGCAGCGGGAGGGGTGGGCGGGAGTGGGGCATGCACTGGAGCCCTTAAAACACGCGGGGCATGGGGCCACGGGGCCATGGGAAGGGTGCATGGAGGGGGAGGGTGTGTGGGTGGCTAAAAGAATGCCAAAACATCCATGAGGTGTGGGTGGTGGCAGCCATGTGGGATCCTGGGGCCATGAGCTGGAGCCGGGGTCGAGGGCATGGAGGCATGGGGGCCATGCGATGGAACGGGCGGAGCGGGCGCGATGGAACGGGCGGAGCGGGCGGAGTGGCGGAGAGAGCGGCAAGACTATGGGTCTTCACTAGCGCCTCCCCCGCTCAAAGCTCGGGTCGGCGGATATATATATATATATATATATATATATATATATATAAAGTTACATATGCATATATACATATATGTACATGTATGTATACGTCTCTATGTGTGTGTGTGTGTGTGTGTGTGTGTGTGTGTGTGTGTGTGGGCGCGCGCGCGCCTGCGTGCTTCCCATGCGAACATGTGAGAGCCTGCAACGTGGGAGGATCCCGCCGTTTCAGCGCTGCTCCTGCTCTACGAAACAATGGCGAAAGGAGCGATCTTGAGCCGTGGTAGCCGCCGTTGTGGCTGAATCTGGCTGCTTTCAATCTCTGGTCACCGATTGTCTGTTTGATCTGCCAGGAGGTCAGCCCGACATCTCTGAAAAAGCGTTGGCCGGCCCAGTCCCCGGCGGCATCTGGTGAACACACTTGCCTTAGCTAAGTCTGCTTAGTGAGGCAGCATCGGTTGCAGTTGAAGCCATTGAACTTTAGAGAAACGTCTCCTTTGACATGAGCAGCCACGATGCTTTGCAACAATTGCCTAGCGCACGAAGAGAGGCACAGCAGTCACTGCCAAACCGATGTCAGGTTGGCCAGCTTTTGCAGCAATGTTTTCCTTGCTGTGCCAGCCTTACGAACGCCGGAAAAGCAGACGATTGGCAGCTTCCGAAAGTGGCCCTAAACCCTAAACCCTAAACCCTAAACCCTAAACCCTAAACCCTAAACCCTAAACCCTAAACCCTAAACCCTAAACCCTAAACCCTACATTGGCTTTCTCACCAGGCTCCGGCCGTGCGAGCATCGAAATGATGCGGTGAAGTTCCTGGAGGTGATGGCTTCAAGGCCCGCAACCACACATATGGGCAGCTCTCTACATCACAGGGGCCTTTTTGGGTACTTCGCAAAATATCGACACCTACTATTTTAGGGCCCCTAATTTTCGAGAATCCCCCGCAACATGGTGATGTTCCATGCCGAGTGTGAACGACTCACCAGGCTCGCAGGCATTGGAGATGTGTTCGCGGCCCATGTGTTTGGACCTCAGTGTTGCTTGATGCCACTGCTTGAGGGACCTGCCCTAAACCCTAAACCCTAAACCCTAAACCCCAAACCCTGAACCCTGAACCCTGAACCCTGAACCCTAGACTCGAGGTGTTATCTCATGACGGGCGAGAGAACTCTGGAAGCAGTCCGGGCCTGAAGATGCCTGAAATGCCAGCTAGAAGACTCTCCGTCTCCTGAGATCCTCTGAGCATGACAGGTAGATGCACCATCCAGCCACAGCCTTCCAAAAGAAACGCGCTTTTTTGCTTGGCTTCCCTTTGTTTGCTTCCTTCTTTCGACTCCTGGCCGAGGCATGGTATGCATACTGGGCGTGGAGCACCGCAGCCCGAAGAACTTCGTGGGGCCCTCACTTGTAAGTGCCCAAAAAGCTGGTTTCTGGCCCCTTCTTGAGCAGTTGCACTGGCCTGGTTCTTCCCTTTTCGTCGCGCTAAAGTGAAGCTGTGCTCCCCGTTTCAAAGGCCCGCCTCCTCGATCCGCTAGCGCTGCAGATGTGGGCCCTTGCACCGCTTAAAAGGGGGGCAAGTACCAAATGCGCTGCGTGGAGCTCGTGTTGGGTGCCTTGAACGCCAGGTCCGAGGCATATGAGTATGCCTGTGCCTCACGCGGTGACTCCAGCAAGGCCCCAAGAGAATCTTGCAGCATTCAGGCCATTCGATGTGGAGATGCAGACGCGCTGTGTCCAACGATACAGCCCTTCAAGCTGGCTCATGTGGCTTGGCTCGGCTTAGGACATGCACAACAGCTTGTGTTCCAAGAGAGAGACGCACCCGGACGAACTCCTGCTTTGAAAAGTGCGTAGAAATTGGGGGGATGCGGGGTGTATGCATGAAGGGGAGAGGGCCAAGCAAGACCAACTGACCAATCGTACTTGGCAGGGCTTGGGGCCCAAATTGTGGGCTTCGTGGGGATCACTCTCCTGGGCAGGCCATGCTGCTTGCTGACGTGGGCCTTGTCGACAAAGCTCGACGTTACATGACGTTGCTGCAGGCGCGCCAGCAAGTGCAATTCTGGCCGTTTTGTGCTGTGAGTGTCGGATCCATCCTCCTCTTACCATGGTAGAGTGGAGACGCTGCAAGTTGCAGGCTTTCGTCAAAGCGGTCCCGCAGAATCGTCTCTCTGATGCTTGCGAGCTGAGCAAGTATACTCGCGGTGTTTGAGTCGCTGCTGAGGGTACTGTTATCTTACTTAAGAAGTCCTGAGGCGTTCAGATCGAGCATGCGTGAGTTCCATGAGGCAGAGAACTAGATTTCCCCTGTCTTCGTGGCAAGCATGTGGATGGTCGGAAGGTGCTGAACCCGAACTTGACGGGTGGAGCACTCAGCTCATCCCAATTCCCAGCAGATGTTGTCCACGGCGCCTTGCCTCAAGGCCAGGCAGCAGATGCCCCAAGGGTCGGCAAGGTGTTCAAGGACATCGCCCTCGTAAGCCAGATTGCGCAATGTCACATGGTGTCACGTTTTCGTGGCACTCGCACGTGCCGGGAGAGAGCGCGTTTTCGGAAGGATCTCGTCCGCAACTTTGCCGAGACAACGGGCTTGGCCGTCAAGCCGATTGCGCCTCCAGCTTTGCCAGCAGATGAGTGCTCGCCTGAGCCTGGAAGCAGACATGACAGTTTTGCAAGCATCAGAAGGATGTAAATTGAATGGCCAGAAACTCCTCACATGCAAAAAAAACACATCGAAGAGAAATGCCAGGAAATAGCTACGGTAGAACAGCTCAGAGAGGCACCCACCCCCCCTCCCCCCGAGTTTCCTGAGGTCAGAGAGCAGCCTTGCGCCAGCTTCACAGCCTTTGCTGCAGCCTGGCGGCCCAACTTTCCCATCCAATTTTCCACCACCGCAGCCCTTCCAGCCAATACCTGCCCAGGCGACACAAACGCCAGCACCACCCATGCCCACTCCGCCCGTGCCCACGCCACAAGCAACCCAGTTTTCCGCGCCGCCTCAAGCTGCCCAAGCTGCCCCAGGCCTGGGATATCTTCCTATCGCGCTGCTTCGTGCTGCTTTTGCGTGCCGCTGGTGCCACCTGTGCGAGGCCCCTTCGCCACTCCGGCTTACCCAACACCGCTGCGAGCTCGGTACGCAGCGGTGTGTATGGAGTCTCCAAGGGCTCCCATGGCTTCAGAATTGAGACAAGGAGTGCAAGTTGCACGAATTTCCGATACTTCAAGCTGCCCTACACCCCAAACCCTAAACCCTGAACCCGAAACCCTAAACCCTAAACCCTAAACCCTAAACCCCAAACCCTAAGCCCGATGCAACTCTCCGAGGCCAAGCCCGATGAACTCACACGGCTTTGGCGCTTCTCCTTTCCCTGCTGCGCCGCAGCAGCCGCAGCCGGGTCCTGGACAGGAGAGACAGTAAGAGCACACCGGGGCACATTTTTGGGTATGAGGTTTAGGGTTAAGGGTTGAGGGTCTAGGGTTTAGGATTCAGGTTTTAGGGTCTAGGGTTTAGGATTCAGGGTTTTCGGGTTTAAGGTTGAGGTTGTTTTTTTTGAAGAGCGTCCTTTGCACGCCAGGCGCCGATGAACTCGCAGCCTTTCGCGAACGCCCCTTTTAGTGGCCGGCTTCCCAGAGGGCCTTTCAAGGTGAAAAGGTAAAAAGGATCCTCATGGGAACCCTAAACAGGGAACCGCAAAGAATGGAGTAGGAACACAAAGGGAATATGAAGGGACCCTGGTAGGTATGTTCCTATTATATTCCTACTATGCTCTTGTGGTTCCCTTCTTGGGGTTCCCCCCCATTGATGTCCCTTCAAAAAAGGGCTCCCGGACGGTTGCGAATGCAAAGGAGCGGGAGATGGCTTTGTGCCTGGCTCAGCTCGCAGTGTGAGAAGGACTCATGACGTCAAGAATCTTAGCGCAAAAATTCGCACGAAGAGATATCTGCAGTCTTGTGGCGAGAGTGTCTGAAAATCCGGCTGCCTCGCCTGAGAAGCTGGAAAAGGCAGTCGGTCTGAGCACACGGCTGCTTTTGGAAGGCTCCGGCAAGCCACTCGCAGCCTTTCAGCGGAAATGCTCCCTTTGCGGGTACTGGCCTGTTTCTCAGCGAAGCGTGCGGCGGAGGTAGGAAAGCATTAGCCACCAGACTCTTGCAGTGTGAGGCCACATGGGGGATGGCTTCGTGCCTGCCTTGGTGGTAAGTCTGGCAAGTGGTGGAGAGAAGCGATAGAAGCGATTTCAAGCGGCTTGACTTTCTCTCTTCTCCACGCGGAGCATGTGGCAAGGGGCCGCCGCCAGACGGCGGAAACAATTCGCAGGCCGCCTGGGGATGCTGAATCACCCTACTGAAGCGAGACCTTCTTTACCTTCAAGACAGGACAGATCGAAGCCACCGGAACGAATGGACTACGCGGACACGCTTGAGAACGACCCCTTGATCAACGCTGGCAAGGAGAGCGGTTGAATTCTTGCCGGCAGTTTCATGCATTTGGGGGTTTACCGAAATAGCGGGACCCCCCAATTTGATCCCCAAATAATAGGATCCCCTTATTACAAGGACCCCAATCAGGTACCAGGTACCCCTAAGTTCAGAACCCCAAGTTCGTGAATGGGGGTCACCCTGCACCAGGCAGTCCTCGGTTTTGGCAAGTCGCTCTTTTCGGCTTGCTCCTCAGCGCTGCGCTCTGCTACCCATGTGGGCCTAGCGCTGCACCAAGGCTGCCATGAACAGAACGCAGGGTGACAACCGAAGTCCGGAGAAGGAAGAGAAGAAGGCACAGCTGGGTTTAAGCTTCTGCGTTTGCCTTTTCGTGGTTCTGAAATCTGTGGTGTCAGGAGCAGGGCTTCTACTACGACAAGCAGAAAGGTCGGTGGATGCAGCACGGTGTGGAGGCGACCTCGCGGTTGCTTGCGATTTTCTTGCGATTGCCTCATCTCTGGTGGAAAGCACTGTTTACGCCGAGGAACACCAGCAGGATGACATATCGCAGTACGACCCTCTGACGGGCAAAAAGTTGTTGCCGAAGGCCGCAGCCGCTTCGGAGCAAAAGCCGTGATGTATATATAAAGTTGTACATAAAGTACATATAAAGCTCTCTGCGTGATGGTCTCCTGATTCTGCAGCAACTCCCTGGTCCGGCCTTCAGTTCTGCTAGGTCGCAGACATACCGCCTCCGCCGTCAATGGTCTGGCTCTGATTTTCCAGCCTTGGTTGTAAAGCTTCGAGGGCATTGATGTCATGCTGAGGGTGGTTTCGGAGCTCCGCCGATGGCTGGCCCACCCCCTGCGGGCGTCATGCCGCCCATGGGCCCACCGCCCACCGGGAACTCCCCTTCGGATCCTTCCATGGGTGGGCCACCCATGGGTGCCCCCCCCATGGGTGGGCCACCCATGGGTGCACCCCCCATGGGCGGTCCTCCCCCGATGGGTGGGCCTCCACCCATGGGCGGGTCAGCCGGAGGCACGCAAGACGAGCTTTCAAGCACGGTGGAGCTTTGCTGGTTTGCCTTTGCCAGGCAACCCCTATGCTGCCGGCGCTTTTCAAAGAAATGCCGGTGCGTCGGCCCTCTATGCTCGGCTGGCAAGTTTGATCCTCGAGCAAAGCATCCGGTACTCGGTGCAGTCCGGCAGGTGAATCCGCTTGGAGGACCAGCAGGCGCAGCTTTCCTCTGCAGGCCCAGGGCCGCCACGCTCGTGTGCCTGTTGCGCTCAGGTGGCGCAGCGCCATGGTCCTAGAGCCCTAGGGCGTGCTGCATGCCTTTGGGTCTTGCCAAGACTTCTGTCATACCTTTGAGAGAAGATCGTTGCACCTCGGTCGATTCTCACGATTGCGCATGTTCCGACTCGAGCTGACGGGCAGAGTTTTGTCGTCCTTGAGACCTTGCAAGGCCCTGCGGCGGGCTGGGACCAGGAGCGGGTGTCGGTACCCTGGAAGCTGCAGTAGAATGCTGTTGTTGTAACCTCCTGGGGCAGCGCGTTGCATGTATGTTGACTTTGACTGTTGCGTGCAACGCCGGCGAATCGATCGTGTCAGTAAAGCAGTGAGCACCGGGTTGGTGTGAATCGCCAGTGCGTACGAGCTCAACATCGGAGGTTGTGTTCCCCATGTGGATGGAGGGTTTTGCGGTTCTCAGTGCCACTCTCCGTGTTGGGTATGGGCCGGGAACGGAACAACCACGACGGCGCAAGACCCTGTAAATCTTTTCTGGTAGCAGATGGGGGCAATGTGCTGGGAGCAAGCCTTTCTGCCGTGAGCCTCAACATATTTAATCGATGCACTAGTACTCTTGCAGCTGGAGGGTCCCGCGGAAACTCTACAGGTGCTGTGCCTACTGTGTATCAAGAATGTTGGGATTCCTCCTGCAACAGATACCCAAACCGGCCAGCAAGAAGCAGCTCATGATGTACCGGGCATCGGTAACTCTCCTAAGATCCTACGCCCACGGGTGCCCTTTTCACGCCCGCACTCGCCCGGGGCTAGTAGCAAGTGCTGCAGAGACTCAGAGAGATGCAGCTGCAGGCCCCGCCACCTGGTGGAGGAGTTGCTTGTGCTTTTGCCGGCTTTGTGGAGACTCTTGTGGATCACACAGCCTGAGCTGCAGCTCACGAGGACCACCTCAAGCGACTCCTTTCAACCAGGCTGGTAGAAAGTGAGCAAAGCCGAGTTCCGATCTCAAACCTGGATAGAAACAGAATATATTGTGATTTGCCGGTACAGTCAGTGCAGTCTGCACTCTGCTGCCGACAGGCTGGAATGGTAAGAGCGACGCCGTTCGGATAGAACAGAAAATGTTCTCTGGGCAACGGGCGTGCTTCTAGTGTAGGGCAGGCCGATGTGTGGTGTGGGATTATGTGGATGTCAAGGTAGAAGGGTAGGTTTGCCTTCTCGGATTTTTGTTCCAGTGCTTGTTCCAGCGCCTGTTCCGCTCTCCAGATCTCCCACTTAGTGGCTCGCCGTAGCCGTGGCTCAAGAAACCATCTGACACTCTAAAGTAGCAAAAGGCATGGCGGCAGCGAAGCAGCCGGCCGCGTGACATCTTTTAAAGGTAAGATTTGACACAAAACTACACCGCAAGTCACAAGTTATCAAGCGGGTCATCGTCACATTACGATCACGTTATGTCTTCATGCAAGGGGACACATTGGCAATGGAGATTACCCTGCCGAGCTGCGCCTGTGTGTTTCTGAGATGCCGCAAAAGTGTTGGTCAGTAAGGATTTGGTTTCTTGAGCCCTCGAGAGTGTCGCTTGAGGTCTGCGCTGTCCTCTGCTGGACCCGGCCCTACAGCAGCTTTAAGAAGCAAAGAAGCAAAGTGGAATTCCCTTTCGAGTCACACCAGGATTGGCAGCGCCAGTTTCGTCCTGGACAGGCCAGCAGTTAGCTGCCATTTCTTGCCATTTTGAAAGCAGCGCATCTCGCGTCAGAAAGCCCAAAGCATGCTCTTGTTGGGTGACACACTGAACGCTACGCATCCCGCCTCGGCCGGCAAGCCCTAAACCTGAAACCCCTAAGTCGTGGGCATCTTGAGAGCTATGCTTCACCCAGGGTTGGGCATGCAGTTCTCAGTCGGCTCCAGGTAGCTCTGTTCCCCATGGCCCCAAAGGCTCCCTGGTCCTGAAGCACCGTCCACGGATGCCTGTCTGCAGCCTAAAAGTGGGGGGGGGGGGGGTACCCATTCCAAGCAAAAAAAGGTATCAAGCAAAAGGGGGCACTCTGCGCCCGGCGCCCGGGAGGGGAGGCCTCGGTGGAAATTGGATGCCCTTTTCCAAGCACCACCCCCGCCCCCGCTGGCTTGAAATATGACCACCTTAGGACACGAAGTGGTATCTGGGTTTTTATGACCCTCCCCTCCTTTTTGTGCAGTCGTTTCCCTTGGTTAAGACTTGGAAGTTTTTGGGTTTCAAGATGCAAAGAGAGGCGGCCGCAGCTGCTTCAACGAGGTGGCCTGCATGTCGGGTAGGCTTGAAACTGATGACTTGGGATGTTCCCCCGAACACTAACAGTCCCTAAACCCTAAACCCTAAAACTCAGGGCCCGGGCAGGTCGGAGGCCACTGAACATGAAAGAGACCTGATTTTTGACCAGTACTGGTCCCGAGGAGAACGTGTTCCGGTACCGGGCCCATCGTGGGCACTACCGACCCCCATGCTGTGGGAGGCGGGCAAGCGACCTGGGTCGGCTTGTGCCATCGAGGTCAAAGAGCTTAAGCGCCGCCCTGGCCCCCCTGGCCCCCCTGTGCCCTGGGCCCCCCTATCTGGCTCCCCGCCCCTGACCCCTGCCCTACTGCGATTTGTTGCCCACTGGTGACCCCCTGCCCTGCCGGCAGCCTGTCCTCTTTACCCGCCACTTCGGGGCCTCTATCTTACCTTCAAGACCTTGCTGGCACCCTTGACTCTCGGATTCAACCAACATCAAAGTTTTGAAAAGTGGACTGTTGTCTGAGTTTAGGCCTAAACCCTAAAAGGAATAGGTTTGGGTGGCTTTGCCTCCTTGGACGGCGTGGGGTGGGAGAAAAGTGTTAGATGGCCCTCCACAATCGGGCCAAAGCTGCTCTTCAGCACCTCACGAAGCTTTCGAGCTTGTTCCGAAACCTAACCTTCGCAGCATCTACGCCCTATCACAGCAAACCCTAAACCCTAAACCCTAAACCCCAAACCCCAAACCCCAAACCCTAAACCCTAAACCCTAAACCCTAAACCCTAAAAGGGATTAGAATAGGGGGTACGATAATCCCTATCAAGGACTGCTAGTATAAGGGTTACCATCCCAACTGATGATGCAACGGAGATGGGGAGGCATTGAGTCCGCTGCCTTGCTGGCCTTGCAGTGATGGTGCTTGTGGTTGCTGACAGGCGTGCTGCCTCGAAAGCTGGTACTATGTGCCCTGCGCCTGTTGGGCTTTGCAGAAACAGAAGCCCTAAACCTTAAGCCTCAAACCCGAAACCCTAAACCCTAAACTCTGAACCCTAAACGAAGTGCAGAAGCAAGGCCGGGCCAACACCATACACGTCAGACGAGTGCCCAACTCTGGGTTCTGCCGAGTGTTATCTAATTAGGTACTGTGCCCCTTCAGGAATCTGTGCCACCAAAACAGGGGCCGTACTTTTGGAAGAGTCCACAGGTACTGGACTCGGCGGGCGAGAGAGGAGGGGGTGCCTGGGACTTGACGGCTAGGTTTGCGCATCGTGGAGTAGCTGCTGGTAGTTGATCCGCGCTGACCTGTGGCTGCAACCGCTCCTATGCAAGGCCTGCTCGTGCCTACTACAAGCTGGAGGAGATCGACCGCAGGCGACGCGTTGCCTGAAATTCGGTGGATGTTCTTCGAGTGAGCCGTTCTGTATAACCGGCAGGCTGAGCTTGTTTCAGCCAGGCCTTTGGTCTCAGAATTTGACTTTGGTTGTGTGCATCTCGATTTAGCACCTGCTTTTTGTGTGCCCCTTGAGGCCACAGGGTCCTTGACCTGGGATGCTGGCCGGGCTCGTGGACGCTGTATGCCGCGAGGCGCCGAAGCCGAAGCCGAAGCCGCATTCCCAGAGACATATGTGCTCTGAAACTGCCTTCGTCTGCCCTTGAGGAGAATTGGCCCTACTGGACGTGTTTTAGGCTGCGAATGTTCTCGTGGTGTCATGATTATACATATATATATATGTAGTGTACATATATGTATATATGAAAACACACATACACACATATTTCACATTTTGTGACGCTTTCAGGGGGCCTTGTCACCCATTGCTTACATTGAGGGGGTTACGAGCGCCTTGTGAAAGGCATTGACTTAAAGGAGGTGGACTTCCCGCTGCCGCAGAATGCAAAGACTCGTGTGGAGGACATGACATCTGGCATGCCATGTCTGCTTGCAAAGTGCCTGTGGAGACCAGGGCAGCCGTGCGGTGCCTGTTCTCTTGGCGTGCAAGTGCCAGGATGCTTTTACCTTCAGAGGAAACAAGGCCTGCCATCTCGCTCTCCTCACATTGAAATTTCCGAAACTAGGGTACCCACCCTGTTGTGGTCCTTATTATTAGGGGATCCTACTATTTGGGGTCTATTTTAGGGGCCCCCCTATTTAAAATGAAGACCGAAAGCGGCTGCAGCTGTGAGGTCCCGATGTTGGATGTGATCATCAGCGACATGGCGCCCAAAACCATCGGCAGCGGCTTCAGACGAGCTTCGTTCTGGTGTCTGTGACCTTCCTTGTGGTCAATGAGAACAGTGCATTCCCAACATCTCGGCCCCTAGCCTACAGAAACACAGTGCAGACAGGAGACAGGAGCCAGACTGCATGCTGCACTAGATGGGCCAGCAAGCAACGGAAATAGCAGAAGACCATGTGCTGCGTCAATGTTGAACTTCAGTGTTCTGCCTGACCTAGCAATGGCCGGCCAAGCCTTCGCCATTCCACTTGTGACAGACCCAACAGCTTCGACGGCTTCGCGGGCAACCGCTTCGCGGGCAACCGCTTCGCTTGCTTCAAGCTGTACAGCGCGAAGCTGGAAGAGCACATCGAGCTGGTTAACAGTCCCTGCTCTAGGCCGGCCGCAGGTTTCAGGTGCAGGTCCAATGCACATGGCCACAGGCTCTCCGGGTCTCGCCCTCTGCAGAGGTGCGCTGACTCTCTCCGTGTCATTGCAACGACGGGGTCGAGCGGAAAGGACGTCCGAAGCCTAAAGATGGTCTCTCTCTCTCTCTCTTTCTTTCTTTCTTTCTTTCTTTCTTTCTCTCTCATACCATGATATGGTTCTCACAGCTGTTCTCGGACAGGAGGAGCGCCCGTTGGAGGAGGGCCTTGCCGGAGTTTATCGAGACAAAAGGGGTGCCAGTTGCGCGGCTCCAGTGGATCATGTCGTCATCGTCCCCAGTTACTCTGGGTTTGTAAGGTTGTCCTATACGCGCCCAGGGCCGAGGTCGAAGAGCAGGCCGGTTGTCTGGGAGAGACATGCTCAGATGTAGGCCGGCAAGAGTGCGCAGGCTTTGGAGCAGCTGATCAGCTTGGCCGCGGCTCGAGCTCGAAATCCAGAAATCTTTGTGTATGTAATATCCCTTTCTCCCCATCTCTACCTCTACCTCTATCTCTATCTCTGTCTCTGTCTTTATCTCTGCCTCTCCATCTCCATCTCCATCTCTCTGCCTCTCTCTCCTTTTTCTTTGTGTTCGCAGCTCCACAGAGACTCGCAGCGAACTTTGGCCGCATCCGAACCGCAGAGCCGTAGGACTCTGCCCTGTGAGGAGTCGCCTCTTCCAGTGGGGCACGTCGCCGCCATGCCGGATGTGCATATGGGCAAAGGCCGCAGTCCATTCTGTCTATCTATCTATGTATGTATGTATGTATCTATCTACATATCTATCTATCTATCTAATCTATCTATCAGTACGCCATGTTATATATGTACACACACATTATGAAGTATATTTTGCTTTGTATCTGATGTTGTATGTTCAATAATATGCAAACATGCATACATTAAGGAACATCGTTTGTATGCATATTTTTCATTCTATTCTATGTATTCTGTTCTTTTGTGTTTCTATTTCAGTTCTAAGTCTAAGTCTAGTCTGATTCTGGTTCTAGCTTGATTTTTCATACTGTTTAATATAGTATGTTTCGTATTATTTGATATTTAGTGGTGTTGTGACGCGCTGTGTGAAGGTGTTGCAATTGGTGCAGTCTTCGCGTCCGAGAGATTTGTCTGCCCCAATGCTGTGGGAGTCGACATTGGCTGCGGGATGTGCGCGGTTCCCGTGGATGGCCTCTTCAAGCAGGACCTGTCCGAGGAGAAGATGCGGAGACTCCAGGCCTTGATCAAGGAGCGCATCCCGACGTCCTTCGACTCGCATGCGGTGCAGCTCTCCTGGGCCAAGGGAACCTTGAACGACATCAGCAGCGTCTTGGGAGCATTCCAGGACGCAACTTTTTCCCCCAAAGTTCGTTTTTCTTTGACTGCCAGAAAGGCATAGTTGCCTTCGTTTGGAGCCTTGTCCCCCGCAGTTTGTGCAGAAAGGAGAGCACCATCCCACCGACTACCTGGCCGAGCGCATCGACAAGGAAGCCAAGATCGCCAAGCAGCTGGGGACCCTGGGAGGTGGAAATCACTTCCTGGAGATCGTCTACTCGGAGGGCGATGAGCAGGCTAGAGGGCTACGGAAGCCCACTGCAACCCAGCATTCGTTTAAAGGGCCCCTCTTAAGCCCTGAAGCCTAGACAGCATGGAGGGTTGGCATACAGGCTCAGAGGACGCATGGCCACTTGTTATCTAGCATCTCAGGAGCCTCACCGGTTTGTGTTCCAAAAGCATACAATATTGATATAAACAAAAACATACATATAGTTATAGATATAGATAGAAATATAAATGTGAATACAAAAAACAAACTAAGTGCATAAATAAATAAGTATAATTCATATACGCAGTTCATACAGAATATTCTGTAGAAATACATGTATATGGTAGTCGAAATGTGCCTGAAGCTCAGCGCCCGCAACGCCTGCCATTGGGTGCTACTAGTACCGACATCACTTGTTCTACGGAAAGCTCTTCGACCCATTTTGAGTGCAGTGCCCACTGAGTCCATGTGCTTCTACAGGTACATGCATACAAAGCATTGCTACGTATACTCTGCCGGTGCGCGCATGGACTTGGCATATCGGTTGTGCCTCCACACGTTGCAGGTATGGTGTATGTTGCACAGTGGCAGCCGAAACGTCGGCAACACGACGGCATCTTTCTATGACAAAGTCGCCGGCAACAGGCTGGGCAACCAAAGCCGAGAGCCCTGTGAACCGAGCTAGCTTGTAGAGGTCTGCAGTTCACACAAGCATTCCGATCCTGAGACCATAGCTCCGCAGGGGAAATGCTCTCAGAGGTCTCCACGGATCACTAAATTTCCTGGAGATTGACAGTGCTGATGGGCAGAATTATCTCAAAGACATGCAGTGGTGCTCCTTGGATACATTACTGTAAGCCGAGTTCCGGGTGCCGACCGCACCACAACTTTCGCACCTGTGGAGAACCATGCCAATCGGTATTTGAAGCATCGCAACACGCCTGCTGTAACTTTAAGGTCAGGCATATGCCAGAGAGAACAGGAACAGCATGATGAACATCATGGTTTCGTCAGTGGAGGAGGTAACCGGCAAGCGAGCTGACATGTCAAGGGCCGTGAACGCCCATCACAACTTTTGTCAGCAGCTCGGCTCTGATCTTCACCCGACTTGTCAGTGTTTGAAGGGTGCGAAGAAGTTGTTCGACATAGTCTGGTTGGTGATTCTTGCATGCACTTGATACGTCTCACTTGGGCTCAGTTGCCTGTATAGAGTGAAGTGCATGTACTGCATGTTCTGCAATCGTGGAGTGGGCACTGCAATTGCCGATCAAGCCAAGGTGCGAGAAGTGCCGCTTCTACGATCACCGAACTGGGGTCGTGAAGGAGCGATTGCTGCACTGGAGAACAGCCGAGCAGCCCCCATGGGCGCCACCAAAATGCAGTGTCGGGTTGCATCCGAGGAGAAAGACCTCTGGGTCACTCGAAAGGGTGCCACAAGTGCGCGTGATGGCCAGTATGGCATTATTCCAGGCAGCATGGGTGCCCTGAGCCCAGACAAAGGGTGTGGATGTGTGTATGTGTCGCAGAATGCAAATCAAAGGTCGGGAGCTACATTGTCAAGGGGCGTGGGGCTAAAGGCTCTTGCAGGGTTCTCTTGAACTGTGCCACGCCCATCCCGCCTCCGCATGTGGAATGCAGCGCATGTGAGAGGCTCCTGGCAAAGCTGTTCTCATGGTGCTGGCAGGACAGCTCTGCTGTGCAGTCTAGCTGCTCTTGTGCACCCTAAACCCTAAACCCTAAACCCTAAACCCTAAACCCTAAACCCTAAACCCTAAACCCTAAACCCTAAACCCTAAACCCTAAACCCTAAACCCTAAACGAGCTATGGGCTCTTGGCTCATGTCCGAGGTGTGTATGTTGGAGGCAGAGGCCTTGCCTGCTTTGCTGCGCAGTGCCAGG